TGTCATGAACATTGGAGGTCTAAAAAACGTGTCCCCTGCAAAGTTTGTGGTAAGCCAACTTCTTCTGCACCTGGAACATGTAAAATTCATGCTGGTGGGTTTTATGTTTTGCAGTTTTATTCTCGCCAGCTTAGCTCTTTTTCCTCTCCTGTTCAGAAAAAGAAAAATAAGGTGTAAAAATTCACGTCACTCGAGTGTGTCAGAAAAAGCAAAATGCTCATCATTCGATTTCCTCCTTATTTATCAGAAAAAAGATGTATATATTTCTATGTCTCTCTGACTATATATCTGGCTTCGGGTGAGAAATCACGAGAAAGTGGGATTAATTAATAGAAAGCCAAACAGTTATCTATGCTCCACTGTGTTCCCTTTTTTCTCAACTCTTGATAAAAAGATATACATATATATGCGATCAGATCCAAATCTAATATGCTAACTAGATGCTCCGCTCCGCTTCGCATTTTTGGGTGCTTTGCACCCTCATACAGCTAGCAATATTAGATTTCAGAGACTTAAACTTGACAAGAAAGCAATATTGTTTTATAGATATATTTCAAAGCGAAAAAAGGTCAAATAGCTAGATATAAATCTTAAAGGTTTCAGGTGCTTTTTTTTAATCAAGGAAGCAAATTATATTTCTTGAGTTTTAAATCACTTTGCTCTGTCAAGAAAACAAATTATATTTCTTAAGCTTTAAATTGCTTCACTCTGTCAAGAAAACAAATTATCGATTTTAATGATTTTAGCGCTTAAAACTCGCAGACTTAAGGTGTTTTTTTGGGTGTTTTTTTGTGATATCGATTTTAATGATTTTAGCACTTAAAACTCGCAGACCTAAGGTCCTCTAAATTGATATCGATTTTAACGATTTTAGCGCTAAAAACTCACAGACCCTAAGGTGTTTTTGGTGTATTTTTATGAAAAAAAAGTCTGCTCGCGCTCCCTGCTGCTGGACTTGTCTCAATTCTGGATTGAGACAACTGAGTTCTTGATTGAGTGTCTTGATCAGAACCGACCACACATCAATAAAAGTAAACTTTTAATATAAATTCTATAGTCAAGTTTCTCTCTAAAACTAATTTGCAACCTGTTTATAGGTTTAATCAAATTATTTACAGTCTCTTAAACTAATTTCTATTCTTCAGCTAGAGATTTTTTTAATTAGTAGACATTCATTGTTTTGATAATTTGCCACATGCTTCCATTGAATTAAGGTTGGGACTTTTAGATGGCCAATAGATATCTTTTAGCAAGAAAGTCCTTGCAAAAATAAGGCGTGCTTCGAATCATTAACTTAAGCAAAGTAATGTTATATCATGGCTTTCCTATTACTATTCGTTGATTGAATAAACTTCTTAATGCTCAAATCTGAATGTCTTTTAATTACGAATAAAATGTAAATGTTGTGCTCAAACTAAACTTGTTCTTATATGTTGCTATTGTATAAAATTGAGAGCTTTACTTGGATTTTCATATATAGTCAAAACTCCCTTAGTTTATTGTCACCATAAACAGACTTTTTCCTATTGCAAAATAGCGATTGCTTAACAAGACATTTTACTGTGCAAGGAAGTTTAGAGCTTTCATGCACTGTAACTGAATATGCTAATTGGCGCTTCCCAACGTCGGTTTTGCTATTCGTGCGACTGGAGATCACGAAATTCATGGTGCAACTGAGCAAATTTTGTAAACAGAAAATCACGTGAGATATGTCCGATCAAGTGGCTTTGCTGCTCGCATATCGTACTAACACAAATTAAGTAATAATTAGAGTCTGTAATTGATAAAGTATTGTGTAGATTCATGCAGACTAGTTGCATATAGTTCTAAATGATATGTAAGTGTCATGCAGGACTTGGTTAGAGACAAAGATGAGGCTATGCAAATCCTGGGAACCCCAACGAGAGCATGAACGGGTGATAATAACGAGCTTGCATGAAGGAAATGGTTTAAATTTAATTGAGTTAAGTATCAATAACTGGATTTTACAGCCAAAAGACGTCTCGTACAAAGTATTTAGCACTTGTCATTGTACGTTCAGTAAAAAACTGGTATCAGAATACAAATAAATGCATTGTCGATTTTGGAGACCCAGTTTACTCACGTACAAACAAGTTAAGTAGTATCAATGAGAATAATGCGTAACGACATTCGGTAATACAGCTTTATGTGTATCGTCTCCGCTCATTAGTATTAGATACCATTCTAATGATTAATGCATACTTAAAAGACCGACGCATTGGGTAAATCTATGCGGGTTGTCTATTTGCCAATCAAAATCTATCAAGAGTATTATCACAAATATCTATCTTTATCTCCATTATCTTTCTTCACTCGGAATCATTGCTTTCTCTGCTTGATTCTTCTGCAATGCAGTGTATGTCTCTCTGCATAGGAGACCGATCACGCGTACATTTACAATATTGCCCCCGAAACATTAACGTAAGCATATAATATGCGCTCCATAAATGTGTGATATCGACGATAAACAGAGGAAAATACTTGAATAGAAATATAATTACATATAATATTTAATATTTCTATATTTATTGTTTACAATATCATACCGATATACTTTGCTGCCACCTGTTACTTAAATCCGTAACGGCTCGTTGAGGTCACCTGTTGAGTTTGTGTTCAATTGGTAATGCGGGGGTAGGACTGCCCATATGAGAGGTTCGACAAGGTGCAAAATATTGCATATCTGAATGTGGATCGAGAATGACGTCCCTATACTTGACACACAATGAGTCGATTGACTTCTTGCGAGCCAGTATTGAGAGATAAATAATGATAAATGTGGATATGTGCGCCGACGTTGTCGTGTGGGAGTATAAAGTTTCTACTCTGAATGGAAATATCATATCATATGAGAAATAAGGGACATCAAAAACGACATACTCGGTGTATGCCATACAAGTCTAGGACCAAGAATGGGATGCAAATCAACACCAGAAGATGTGAATGAACGGTAAAATAGAACAAGTAAAATGACTATATATGGAGTAGAGCCATTAGTTAATATAAATGTATATTCATTTGATAATTAATTGTGTCTCTCGTGGTTCGTTACCACAGTATCTGCTTTTCGTTCCCTTCCTTAAGCTTTTTCTCAGATTGCTTTATCTGAATGTATCATATGCAAAAATAGGGGAAAAATAAGTATGAGGATGATCGAACAAAAAAAAAATCTATTATCAGTTATCGTTCAATCCGAGCTAGCCAAGATGTGGTACCAAATGACTTTACTTGAAATAAATTATCGTTTATAGTAATACTATCTTATCGAATATTGTCAATAATAGCTTAACACCAGATTGCTATATCCCAAATATCGGTTAGCTTGCGTTGTAGGCAGCCAGTTAAATCACACCGATTATTAATCCCTATCGCAGCAATAAAGTGTTGATGATGCATTCAAGAAAATTAACGCTTATAGTGACGACGACAATAATATAATTTGTTACTGAAACTATCAACAAGCCATGTTTGCTTATGTATTACTTATTATAATATATACATCATTATTATAAAATGTGTTACACAGCATATACGATTAGACATGTAAATGCATGTATCGACTGTACTCTTCTGTTCTTTTCTATTCACTTCCCATTCATTTCTTTCTACATAGGAATCAAGTACCTGTGATACAACTTTAAGTCTATAAATACACTTTACATTCCCACACTTTCCCATACCCTTCTCTCGCTCATCAACGACATTTCAGACAAAAAGAGGTCACGGACGGGAAGACATCAGCCAAAAGCATTCCTAATTCTGCATTGCAAATTGGCTGTGTTGTAGTTTTCTCTGCTGCATTCGTCGGTTCTATTCAATCAGCAGTCTCGTTCTTCGTTCTCATCAACCTCAACGTCTCACGGATTAGGGTCAATTCACGTAAACATTTTTTACCAACTATCCTTATTACGAAATCGTATCTTCCATTTCGTTTCCCCCTCCCCTCCCTCCCCTCCCCCCTCCCCCCCATTCGAATCGATTATTCATAAAACTCACTATTCTCCAATTCATTATTTATATCTTTACATACGGCACGGTTTATATAAACGTCTGAAATTACAATAGAAAGTCTAGAACGTAAAAACTTTACATCATTGACATGGATCTGGACTGGTGTCTAATTTGCGAAACTAAGACTCAGGTACACAGGGAATATTTAGCGTGTGGGGCAAAACTGATTACAAAAACGTTCATTAGATACGTTGATTCTCGATCATTTTATTAATTGCTTATGTTTTCTGTCTCATATTCTATTTAGCAGGGCTCATTATACTGCAGTGAAGAGTGTCGCTTCAAGGATTATCTTTCAGCGTACAAGTATATGACACCTCCTGCATCTCCGACTTCTACCGTCGTTCCAACGATTGACATGATGACATCATCTAACGAGACACCAGATCATGATTACCTCAGGCAACAATCTCCGATTTCGCTCCATTCTTCGGATAAGGGACAACCAGACGCCTCACCGCTTAATTCTCCTCTTACAATGTCAGAAATGCACAGCGCTTCATACTCGCCCAAGTCAACCAAGACTCTCTCAGGAACTCAGGATACCGGTCAGCCCGTTTAAATTTCTATTATCGCTATTTATTCGAGTTCCTTGTTATCAACTTTTTCAACAAAAAAAAAAAAAAAAAACAAACAAAAAACGGTTGAGAATCATTCGTTCAAATGCCTTCGTATATGCATTTCTTTACGAACTAAATGAATATGACCCACCCAATATTTCACTCTTCGACTTGTTTTTAAAAATTGTTTAGTCGACATTTCGTTGCTTGCTGTATAAAAGTTTCGATTATTTTCATCGAGCGAATACGTTTACATACAAATTTTTACCTTCGTTATGCTTTTTACCGTATCGAATAATATGCACAAAAAAGATTGACGTCCTCTGATTACACAGAGGAAGTCATTTTGTACAGTTTTGTATAGGCTTACTGTTTATATATAAGATTTACTTACTCTATCGATTGTTCGTATTGACTCGAAAGAACTTTGTATAAAATCCTTCTCTTTTTGAATATGGAAAGCGCTTGATGGTCAATTTTCTGCCATTAGCTATCTATGTTCTATATGTATTATATAGCTTCCACAATATTCCTGGTTCTTCTGTAAGTATGAAATTTATTCGTATTCTTTTCTTCCCTCCCCTCCCCCCTCTTTTTTATTTGATATAACTCTTTCAGTTTCCCCCTTTTGTTATTAGTTACATATCCTAAATCTTTACTTTTGTTAGTGAACAAAATTTTTGGATTAAATAACTTTTTTGAGTCCCTGTACAGACGACGTGTTTTTGAATGCTCTAAGCCGGATTACGTATACTCATGTATAAAATATTACAATAAAGTGCGTTTTAAGTGGGTAAACAAAAAAGTATGTACGTGGATAAAAAATTTTTTAAGTTTTGATATTAAAAGATGGTTTACAGATCAAGTCCAAAAAAAGGCAACTCCAAAGTGACAATTCAATCCTTAAATGAAAAAAAAAAAAAAAACACCCCCAAACAAACTGTTAAAAATAATGCAATTGTATTTGGCAACAACGGTACTGGCACGTGTATTCATATATGCTCAATGAAGTTACCAATTAGTTCAAATATTTGTTCATTGGACGTCTTTTTTGTACATCCAGCCCATATGGATTTCTTTGGTATCCAAATAAAAATGTGGTAAGTTGTATTGTATTCCCTTTTTCGTTAATACAATAACAATGTACTGCTCCCCTAGAATTTTGCATATTATAAGTATTGCATACCATTTTGTATTTTATTAAACGTTTACATTTAGAAATTAATTTGCAAACTAAAAAGTTTAAATGACTTATTTGGATGTTATTGAGCATGCTGCAACTAAACCAGGCAAAAGTAAGCATTTGATTGTGAGCTAGTGTGACCGAAAGTTAACTAATTTGACTAATGACATGTTGCACAAAAATTGCATTTTTTGATTAATTCTTGAAAAAGCATAAGTACATATTTTTCTAAAATTATTTTAATCTTTAATTTAAGCAATTTGCTGCATCGAAGTTGGTTGAGATAATTGCTTTTGATTCAGCAATTTCCTTTTTGTTATTTTCTATTTTGTTTCGTCTTTGTACCAATTTACCTTAATTCCCGAGGCTTCTAGACGGGTGTCTATTTCTACCTCTAACTGAGTTTTTTCTTCTCGTAGGCTGTTAATTCGTTGATTATAATGCATTTGGGCTTCTTCTTTGTTATTAGTTCTAGCTCTTCATATTTCTCAAAATTAACAATATCTTTTATTTTGCAATAATGTTTATTAAGTTAATGGCCAGACTGCTACATAAAAACAGACACTCAATATATTCTTTTATTTTATTATTATTGTAATTTATTTTCGTGTTACTATAACTTTTATTTAATTTTTTAACGTACTATATCCATTATGAAAAGAAACAGTCTTTCTAGAATTAGTTGACAGGATGCCTCAACGAATCCGAAGCGTCGGCGGCACGCAGCAATTTTCGTTGTGAAAATACATCTAGAATTAAAAAAAAATTAAAAGAACTGTTAAATAGAAATAAATACGGGGTGTCAAATTAATTCATTCAATTTAAAGCAATGAAAATTCTATTGACACTGGATAAAAAGACCCAATCAGTCGCAACACTATCCCGGAAGAAATTAGTTCCTAGTATGAAGGTATCATTAATGTTTAATGGCGTTTTTAAATTCATTACTAAATATAAACCACTTTGTAATCTAAATGAGGAGGGTTTAGTACTAAAATAAAATTTCAAGTTGTAGTATTTTCTAGTTTTCAATAAATTACTTCGGGTGTATGAATACCATTTGCAACAATTGAACTTCAACACTCCATGATTGGCTCAATTTATTAAAAGATTTCTCGACACAGAATTATGATTCAAATACTGAAACCTTTTCCACTGTCATAACACCGAGTCGTGTTTGATCCTGCTGTACTCAATTATTTCACAATTTTAACAATATAATTACACAAACTATAGCTGGTTTTCTATATAGAACTTTTTAATTAATCCAAAACTGACATTACACTTGAATTTCGTATGTTCAATTTTAATAAGTGTCTCTACCGAAGTAGAGCCAAATGTTCAATACCATGAAATCTGATTCGATGCTTTATTATAGCTGCAAATTATTAAATATAATAGGTCAAGTCAAGTAATAGCATTATTTTTGTTCTGATCACCGGCGTTAGTACAGGTAACCCTTTAAATACTTTTTGCCTTTATTCCCATTCTTATCCCATCGAATACTATGCTCCGATATAATTCGGCTTTATCAAAATCGTAATTAAATTGTTCGCGTACTGCTTCATTTTGAATACCAATAAATGCACTTTACGTGGATTGAAGTAATGAATTTACTTACCTGTTGATCGGAATGGCGTACGTGAACGTTTTGTGCCCAATCGTAAATGAAATGTGCGATAGCGTTCTCATGGCAATAATTGACTTTTATCCCTGTTACAGCGTAATATGACTTTGAGTAATTCGGTTGGCATTTATATCCGGAACTTGGTAGTCCATGAGTTTCAGCATAGTTTCTCGAAATTATTCATACTTGTAGCAACCGGTTATATCAATAACTATTCTTGGGTTTCCATCGCGGCATTCATTTTTTATGTTACCATGAAGGCGTGTTATTGTTGCTAGATAATTTTTCGAAGTGAATGCACTAATTCCTAACAAGAAACGGCAGAATGAACGAATTACAAGTGTGCGCGATGATATGATGCTCAGGTCAAAATACAAGGATTGCAATATGAAAAACTAATGAGGCAGGTATTTATCATACTTGGTTTATATTTCGAACCAAGCAGTCTTATCATCATCCATTGCATGAAGAGTATTGCAAAACCCTCGGATTTCGCCAAGTCATGTTCTATGACTTTGGCATAACATTGATGGAAGTCATACAGTTTTGTAAGATCTCATACAAATTTCAAGTCCAATTTTGACAGTCGCTTGCCATATATTTCTAAAGCAGATAGGTGTGTTCTAAGATGCAGTTCCAATGATCCTCATAGTCGATTTTATAGGATCTTTATTGACAACTACAGAAAACTGCTAAAGCTGTTTTTAGACAGCTAGTACATGAGAAAGCACATGCTATCTACATACTAAACTGAATCAATAAAGAAACTTGGCCTAATGCCTGGTATTTATATGGTAATATTAAATATGAATAGAGGGGGGAGGGGGAATAGATAATGATATTTTGTTGTTAATTATAGTAGATAATGTATTTATAGAAGGCCACAGTGGTGAGGGGAATAAAGAACGATGATTGAATAGTATATGTTTAAAGGATATGAGAATGTCAATGAGGATAGGTGGGGAGGAGGATCCAAATGTGCAGGAAGTATATGAAGTCCATATTGTAATCATCTCATAGTCATTATATGCGACATTAAATTCATCTATGTTAGTTTCCTATGATTATTGTATATTAAAAGTGACATAGTCTAGTGTACACTAATGCACCGCAATGACTTGGCGTCTTTGTCACTCATTTCGTCATAGAAGTCCGCCATCGGCGCCACATCTACGATCATCACAAACATCACATGTTGGGAGACCGAGTATATGCACATTCTTCGAACTTCCCATGACTTGCTTTTGCTGCGGATGCGGCTGCGGTTTCTCAATCTGCTGCTTTTTTCTTCCTCCTTTATATTTACGAGGATGCAGACATTACTTGCCTGCGCTCTCCCTAATTTCTCTCGTCTGTTCTGAAGACTCTTTGTCATTCCCTGAGATGAAAAAAATACTATTCTCTATTCAGTATACTTTTCTGACTATTTCAGCAAGCTGCAAGTCGAAATTTTTGTTCATAAAATCGGCATACCAATGTATTGTGATAATTCGATTATTATTCCCAAATAAATGCTCCATACGTCTTTTAGATTAGTAGATTGCGAGGAACTGTTCTTCAAAGCAGTCATTTCGATTTACATAAAAGTTTCGGAACGAGATGTTTGTCCAAGATGTCTGATGATCTTTTTTTGTTGTTCTAGGTAACTTTTAGCATAATTTGTCCACTTATACGGCTCTATATCTTTACCTGACAAGGTACTGTATAACATAATTCCAGTGCAGTGTGGTTAACTTGTTGAAATTGGCTGAAAAGAATGAAACGACCTCGATATTTCCGTCGTCATGTGTTCGCATATTGTTAACAACGTCCTCGGGTAGAGAAGAAGCCTGAGAAGCTGAAAGCAAAAAAAATGCCGTCAGTACACTTCTTCCGTGTTTAATAAAATAGTTTGTAAGCATACAAGAAGTCGCTTTTAAATAAAAGCTGCTCAAGTTAATTTGCCATAATGACAATTGACAATTTAAATTAGCCAAGGTACGCGCTTATACAGTAAACAGAAATCTAGCTAATATTAACTAACATCGGGTCAAGTTTCTTTGTTGTTTCAGCTTGTCTTGGAGGTAACATTCAATTTGCTAAATATCAAAATTATGCCCGATTATAGCAAAAATAATTCAGTCTGGGGTTTAAAATAACGAATGTCTATTAAAATCTATTTAGCAAAGGACAAACATGCCTAATAAAACACTGGTTACGTTTTGTGTAACGCGGAAAAAATCTAAAAATTGTCATTGGCTAATCCGGCAGAAAGTTTTCCACGCTATTTTCTATGCACGCGATTTAAGATAAGAGGTTCATGCTAATGAGAGCGTGTGCTAAACAAACATTATGTATGTGTCTGTCATCACTCTTTCGATCATGAACAACTGAACTATCCTAAACCGTCGTTGCCTTCCGCATCACCACTGGTACTAAGAGGCTCGTCTATTATAGTCTACGGCTTAAGTTACTTGTTTCGATTATGAGTTTGTGTTTCGGACGATCTACTATTGGTAGGCCATACATCATCGGTCATAGGGGAGCAAGCGCAGGGTACCCTGAGAATACAGTTCTTTCGATAGAACAAGCGATAGTAGAGGGAGCGGATGGCATAGAATTCGGTAAGACGGCTTATGATTAGATATGACCAGAATGCTTGATTCTATCTAACCTTGGACTATGATCAGAAACCGTTACCTAATTGCACTTTTTGATTTACACTTTAGCGCATCAAGCTATTGCGTTGTTACTGCTTTTTGTTTCCACTGCGGAATGATTTTACATATCATTTCACGCTGACGCTTATTACGCTCTTTTCCGTGCTTGCTCACGCATTAGACATCCAGAAGACCGCAGACAATCAAATAATTGTCCATCATGATGAAGTCTTGGATCGAACTACGACCGGGTCTGGTCGCGTCTCTTCATTTCCATATTACGGTGTAATCGAACACTTGACAACCAAATCACATCCACAATGTCCAATTCCTCGTCTAGACGACGTTATCCATGTCATGATGAAACCAGAGAATTCTCACGTCTTTGCGGTAATAGACATTAAACCCAACAATGATCCAACAATCATAGCTATACTGGCTGACATACTAAAGAAATACTCTGACGATGTATCGATATTCAAATCTCGCCTATCTCTTGGCATTCGACACACTTTATTTCTTCCTTACTGCCATTCTTATTTACACCAAATACCAATCATGCACATCGGATCCTCTCTTGATATAGCTCAGACATACTTTCCCGACGTAGCCGGATATAATCTTACACATGTATCATTATCAGGATCCCGTGGTCGGTCATTTATAGACAATGCTCATGCGAAAGGGCAATCGATTTTCGCGTGGGTGGTTAACCGTAACGGTTTGTACAGTGACTGTAGAAGATGGGGTGTAGATGGAGTGCTGACTGATAAGAATAAGGATTTTGTAAACATGTATGGCAAAAATGGCAAGTGGGACGAGAATGAGAACATATTAAACTGGATAGGAAGAATGATGAGAGGGTGGTTTTATGCGATTGCAAGAGTTGTAATTCATCATGTGGTTATCAGGCGACTAAAGAAGTACGGTGAGCTGAAAAAAGTAGATTAGCTAGTAACAAAGTGTACCGTGTATTAAAAGCAATGAATGTGTCGAGAGAAAAGTGATGGCACTGATTTGTTCTAAACCATATTCTAATTATATTTTATTTCTCACTCTTGATAAACGTTTTACAAACAGTTCAAATATCGCATCAGCTTCATCACGCGATTAGACGTGTGCGCCGAGCGTCTCTCAATGTCAGCCGTACTGACTTTTTTTTTTTTTCATAACTGACTTTTTTGGCAAACTTTCCAGTCCTCTTCGAATGATTGATCACTCCACCTTACAGATCTAGATTTTTTAATACGAAATCGGTCTTTGTTGACGAGGATGCTTTTGTCTTGCCTCTGTTTCTCGGATCGTTGCGTATGTTCCTTAATTATAGCCTGATTGAAACAAAATAATGATAAGAAACGCGAACGTTTTTACAACATACTTTTTTACAATGTATAATAGTGATTAGTCTCGTTATTAATAATGCTTTTCCGAGAATTTCCGCCAACTTACGTCTGCACTAATGCCAAGAAACGTCACAATATCCAAGTCATTATCTCGCCATTCAATGAGATAATTGAGGAATGATTCTAATTCTTCTTTTCGTCGTCGAATGAACGGCTCTTCCGTATTACCCACTACAAATTTATTTAATTAGCGACCACTTTTGCTATGATTACATAAACAGTGATATTTAAATGAATTGAGGATATTCACCGTAACGTTTTGGTGGAAGGCGAGGCAATCTCACCCATCCGTATCTATCAGCTAATGTATTGTATAATTGAACGAATGCCGAGTATCGTTTACATGATATCGCGCTACAAAGTGGTCCATTCGGCGTTTGATACTTGAAAAAGAAGCGAAAAAATTAATACATACATTAGGTCTGTCGTATGTAGATCTTACAGTTAATGAGTACTTACAACTGTCGAGATTTGATATACAGTGTATGTATACCATCCACAAACTCCTTCTGTTTTAATATGCCAGTCGTCTATTGACACCTGGGGAGGGTTGGGTAAATGGATGGCATAAAACAGGTTTATATACATGTTGTCACTGTATCGGACATTTATACACATTTACATCGTCATACCTTTCTGATTAGACGCTTTATGGGCGGGGGAGCCACTATCGAGCGTTTCATCTCTAAGCAAATTTGGGTGGCGGAAAATAATCAGCAAAAAGTAACAACCGCAATACATGAAACGTTACTGATTGAAAAGCATTTGTACAAGAGTTAGTCGAAGAATTTACCGGTTGTCAAATCATATCTTGAGAAGCATAATGGATTCTCTCGCGATGAACTCATTGTCAGCATATCACTGGTGCGCCGCTTGTCCTCGTTTTTTGTGAACAGTTGGATTTTTTAAACATGAACACTGTTATATTACGCTGTATTGGTCGAGAGGAAAAGTGCTATCGATACACATTGGATGATTACGTTCTTTATATCTTTAGCGATTTACAACGATAGATTAAATCGCGCATTTTAGATAATAGCCACACGATATTAATATATATATTTAAGCTACTTTGAGGTTTCATGTGACCATTCAGGAATATTAGATGTTGACAGAATGTTTTCCCGACACACTTGCACACCATTCCAAATTAGTTTATTTGTCTTACGATAGTTGAAAAATGTCGGAAAAAGTATCTTATTTCTTGGTCATAATGTTGATCCCGATGCGAGCCCTAAACTTAAAATAGTATATATATATCCATAAAGGCGTTTTTAGTCTTTACATAATAAGGGCTAGTTTCTATCACATAAGCAAATAATAACTAATAATCACAGCCAAGGAGGGTTCAAGAGAACTCTAGCGATAAAACTGTCGTCTGGCATTTGCGGGCATTTGCGGTTCTCTTACAAAGGATGAATCTGTTAAATGAACAATCTTTCCCAGCAATTTTGAGCACGATTGTTGTACACCGTGGTTGTTTCTTTGTTATGCCTATTTCTTTTCTTTACAAAGCCGATTTTAATTGCTGTATTCTGAGATGACGTCAGACAACATAAAAGAGTTACTAGAGCGTACAATTCAGAAATGGCAATTGAAAATCGTGCACCCACGGACATCAACAAAGCTGCAAAAACCCTAAACTACAGACATGTTACTATGCGATAAAACTAAGCGATCTCGGCCTTTTAACTATATTTGTTATATTATAACTGTATTATTGAGCCAGGTCAGCCAGTCGCCAAAACACGTTTCTACCATTCTCTGACTATAATAATACATGATGCGATAACTTGTGTAAATCAATGTGATTGTAGGTGAACGAACTAAAATTAATTTTAAAAGACATTAATATTAATGACCGAAATATTCTTTGTCGTATGTAGATTATATTAGTAACTAACCAAAGTCGTATGATCTCAATTTGACTAAAATTCCAAGTTTAAAATGAGAGTACGATTCGGACCTTTCCCGAGAAACTCATTTGTCAAGTGCACTAATGATGGTGGCAATCGTAGTCACAATCGTATGTGAACGCGATGGCCTAAATCATAACGTTCTTCTCATCATCGTTTCGTTACGAGTCTGTGGTGTAGTAAGATTCAGGAAGCTTTAACCCAACGAGTGTAGCGTTATTAACATTTTGTATGGCCTCATGTCGAACTCGCTAGGCGTCAAACGTAACATTGTCATAAATGGTATCAGAGTTACACGTCGCTCCCGTTACAGTGAATTATCCGGCAACAACAAGTCCGAACGTTTAAAAGAAACATCCAATTACTCAACGTGAGCTCATACTCAGATGTTGGGGTGACAACGCATGTGGAGATTGTGTTATTTTGTCAATGTGCCAAGTGAGACGTAGAATGTCAAAGCTAGCCCGCAAAGTCTTTAAAAAGATTGACTGATTAATGGCAAATAAAACGGCAAACGGTGAATCGTTATGTCACATCAACCGTTATGTGTCTACATGAGACAATGAGATACCTCTTCTCCGTGCGCTAGAGATAATGATCAACTCTCTTCACTTGACACCATCGGTTTAGCCTTTCTGCTGGTCTACGGTAATTGGTGTTCGCCACGAAGTGTATAAGTAAAGCCACTACGCCACGAGTCGACGGAAAACATCTCTTTCACACGTCTTCTTGGTGAACAATATCACGTCGCAAGTTAAACATACCCCTTCTTAGTAAGTAATATCCGTTCTCAATAAGCGAGATATATTCGTTCTGAGAGATTTGGGAATTGCATTTAGTATTCTCTCGTTCGAATAAGCCCAGTTATAATCGCTAGCAACAATGCGTATATTAATGCCGATCGTCGATTTTCAGGGATATTAATATTATGCGGGGTTGATCAATGAATTTCATTTCATCGGAACAAAGAAATGTAAACCCATTATTTGTTGACAGTGAACAATCAGCTCAGAACAAATGATGCATTACTCTCGGTGCCGCAATCTTTTGTTCATTTCGTTGGTCACAGGAAGAATTTCTTGTTGAGAATTTTTTAAATATTATATGGTGAAACTTAATAACATTATGGAAAAGTTGCTTATTGACAGCGGAAAAAGTCGAGAGGTTTTTCTGCAGGCAAAAAATCTGTTTACACATGGTTGCGAGTTAGTACAAACTTATACTCGTAAAGTATGCATAATATTTATAATGCAGAAAGAGAAGCAAAAGGAGCATTTGAGAATTCGATTAAAATGTTGTAGCTGCCGATTTTATTGTTATCTGTATGTTTATGGGTGGTTTAAGCTGTTTTATTTGTGCAGAATTTTATATCGCGTTTTATGCATGGATTTTATCTGTATCTTATAAATGTCTTATCCAGAGTGTTGTTTATTTAACGTACTAGAAATTATTACGAAAACGAGGTTACTTCTAGTATAGAATAAAATACTTGACGCATTACATGGCTTAGGATTGTACCGTTCTCCTTCCTTGATCTTATCATACATTTTGTTCGCTTTTCTTATTTGATATGTATTTAATAAAATTTTATTATGTATCAAAAAACCGTGTATCAGAATTATAAATCGAAGCTGGTTCCAGAAGCAATATCTTCGAAAGACTATTCCAGTATCTTTTGGTCCGAAAGAAGGCACGTGTTGCAACTTTATATCCTCAGCATGATTCTCTCACGCACATGCTCATACGACAAATACAACCGGGTTATGGTAATGTTCAAGATGTAAATTCTTTTCCTTAAGAGGTGAATATTAGTAATATCGTTATATGCATCGTTTGTGGGAAATCCAAAATAGGGCAGTACAGTCGCGGTGACATTATCTCTTCTTGGCAGGTAAAAAATTGATTGATCAACTTTCTCTTAAAATTCTCCAGTTTCTTTATGGATTTGATTCTAACCCACTGCTTTTATGTGTCGTACACGGGTCTGATGAGTGGGTCACGGAACACTCTCAGACATCTCTTTTTCTTCTTTTACACAACTTGTCAGATCGGATTAGTACAGAGACTTGGTAACAGCTACAACGTAAATAACTAAGTGATATTTGCCCTATTACCTGCTCGACGTTTTATAATCAATAGTTATACCTGAATGAGATTATGTAACCAGAGATGCTACAAAAAAATTATTTGCTTGATCATTGATACGAAACGCTGTCTGAGTTAATTCCATGATTAAAAGCTTTGGAAGTGGCGCAATGGACCGTTAAACCTGAATATTGACATATGCAATTAAACGTATCAGTCACCAACAAATTATTTCAGTTAGCTGAAAATAATCCATGACCAATTTAAATAGATCATTTTTGGACGGAACACCATTAGAAATCGAATAAGACTTATCAATGAATACGCTTCTTGTAAACACTATGCCACTACTTTAGTGTGCGCACATGTCCAAAAACTCGACTGTGATAAGACGAGACGGAAGTAGAATGCTAAACTATATTTAATACAATTATGTTATAATTCTGATCTGAAATATTAATATGTCAGGACAGACATAAAGTTTTCTCTATATGTTTAATGGTTTTACAAGACAAGAATTTCCATGTTTGTTCAAAAAGTGCCAACATATGACCCCGCTGAATAACTGTAGTGGATAATCTATGAGGGAGAACGTCTTTCCTTCCACCAAGTAGACGCATTTTAATTTATTATATTACTATAATGCTGTATGTAAAGCATGTCAGAAAAACTCGAGAGAGAATAACCGTCTGACCTTAGTTGCTTGGCCTGCGCTTATTGACATTCTTGGGCAGTTTTATCACAATAAGCATTTCACAAATGACATTAATGCTTATTCTATGCCAATAACACTTACAATAAAGCGAGTATGAAATATATACGAACAAGGGGTTGTTTGATTTTGATGCTTCGAGAAACTTGTATTAATTTTCTAGTTAAAAAGTGGAGGTAGCTAGTCAATTTATGCTGTTATCAAGAAGAAGAGAATATAAATAAATCCTAAGCTATTTAGTGCTAGTTTCAGCATCAAGTTATTTTTGCGCTCATGTTTGGTAATTATTTATGCGTAATTTATACGAATCTTTTACCCTCCCTGTAAACACAAGGGGGGAAAGGTATTAAATCTATGCAATTAATCCATGCAATGCTAATAAACATTTACTTATTATTTGAACTCTCTCATTTAAAATATTGGTCTATTGTACTAATCAATACTCAATCCATCAGATATACAGTAAACAGACAAAACAGCACGCGTAATTGCTTAACATCAGCAGGCGTTTGCACCATTTGAGGATACTCAAAGAGTTTTTCTAGTCAACAACATTTTAAATTGATATTAAAGTGAACAGTTAATATGTCAGTGAGTGATAAAATGTAGTAGTGTGATAAATCACGTAATAGAACGTATCCAGCGCAAAAGCGTCAAAAAAACGTCAAAGAAACGTAAGGTAAATTTATTGCGTAGGTGTGATGAGAACATACGAATTGTTTGCTTTTTTTTTGTTAATTATCAATTTACAAGTAAGAGAAACAAAAGGCATTTATCGAAATTATTTTACCAACATGATATAAAGTTGTAATTACGAATAGTTAAATCAAATAAAAGACTGTCAGTCGAAGGTTCAAAGATAGGTAACAGTTTAACCATTTTTTACTTACGTTGCTCCCCTTATTTAATTGTGCACGTGTCAACGTTATTACCTGTCGTAAATTCACCGACTCTTCAATAAAATTCAGGATCGAATACGTATTCAGACTGTTGGGATCCTTCGTGGAAGTATAGTTATTCGGCAATCTCACAGCTTTTTACGGTCCAATATAGCGTATCGGCATCGTATGAGAAAATAATCTATTGAAGCAAGTTATATTACTTTTCAGACACCAAATGAAATCGGTTGCTCAACTTAAAGTGTGCAGGCTACGCATCTGACTTGTGCGTATCTCTGAACCATTATAAATTCTTGTTTTTGTAAATTAAATATCGGATGCAGCAAAAAGAAGATTAGCTTTAGTCGCCTGGCGTTCTCATTGCCATTAATCTTGACAAAAAGTCGATATCTGACACGATTGTGTTTGCAGATGGAACGCTATTGTCGAAATGTATTCACGCTCAAGTACTATTTTAGACGACTAACTGAATAAACTGATTACACGTTGCGAATTACCTTTGATGTCAGATGTTTATTTTGTCCAAGTGGAATGCTTAACAACAGTTAATGTAAGTCCAAAAGCACGTGCGTAATACGTAAACACTTTCACGAAAAAATTCCATCTGATAGAAGGTTGAGAATTTCTTATATTATGGTTTAGAATTGTGAATTCTAAAATAATCGGGAAAAAAAACTCTCACAACACTAAAAGTAAATAAGTCTTGTTATAGACTTAGTTTTATACGAAAAAACAGCAACAATTGATGTGTTTTGATATTACTGCCTTAAAAATAATGCAGTCAATTTTCTATGCAGCCAAGTTAAAAACGAAGTAATTGTTAGAAGACGTCTAATAGCAATCTCATAGCTCCCACATTGCTCCTGAAACTTTAATAAAAATTTGCTACATTTACTGTTCAACAAATATTTTTACTCCTAATTCAGACAAATTGATACACAATTATATAGCTAAGAAGGTTATGTCTTAAAGCTTAGGGAACCAACCAGAGAAAACGATGATTCAAGTCAAATGTAGCATTATAATTAATTTAACTATCTTGGTAACATTGGAAGACGAAGCAATAAGATGCTTCCATTACTCAGCCACAACGTACTTCTATTGCATATACCAAAAATGGATAATATGTATGATAAAAATTTACTCAACATAAACCTTATGAAACATCAACGACCACAGGTTATGGGGAGTGGTGTTGGTGGTCAGCTAACATTTTAATGGACAGCAAAAGACTTGGATGCATAACAGAACAGAACAGCATACGCGAAGTGTAATAAATTAAAATATATACAGTATAACATGTATGTGCAAATAAAGAAAAAGTAATGATAGATAACAACGTTACATTAAAGGGGGTTTTGGCCTTGTGAACCTTCTTCGATTCAGTATGCTGTATAATAATGCAAAAACATGCTGTCAGGACCACCAGAAATGGCAATCCGTACACATTTCGAATTTGTACTCAGAAGTATTGTAATGTTATCTTCAGCATCGCTTATTGTGGTATCCATCTATAGCAGCAACGTCCGCCAACAATACCAAACATTAACCTGTTTATTGTATCACTTGTTATATATGTGTCCATTGTGAATGATGCTTGATAGTGGTCTTGTTTCAAGCATGCTTGTGCCATATTTGTAGCACAACAGGAAACCCGCGTGTATAACTACGCGCTCTATAAAGCAAACATTTGACAGGTCAATCAACAAAACGGTTTCATTATATGCAATCGATTACAACAGATCAACCGACTATCGATAATAACAGTCTTTCGAACTTGATCAGCAATCGACATGATACAAACATTAATGTTTATCGCTGTCAGAAATGCTGTCATTTTCTAAAGCAAAACCGTTTATAACGATTATATTTCACGTGTATCAATCAATTAATGGTTGTGTATAAGAGCGATAAACATGCACATATGCTTTCTTGATATGACTATTGATTTGTAATCAGACCAAATATATCGACACGATAATGGTTTGTGTTGCACTACTAGTCAGGTGAGTCAACGCGATGTTTGATTTCATATGACGGTAGATCATCTGATGCAAGTTGGTTAGCATTCTATTCTTATTCTATATTCTACATTTTAATTTGGGTTGAGCCAGCTTCTCGACCTACCCCCCTTTTTTTCCCTCTGTCGATCGATTTGTTTGTAGTAATGTCAATAGTTATTTGTTTACAACTTGTATTCAGGGAACTAATGCATTTAATGTGGCATAAACGTTATGCCTAATTCTTGTTGATATAAAAATGCAAAGAGTACATTTTCCGTCATGCTGACATCTTTATCATGTCGATAAACATGCATTTTGTACGCTGCATTCATTTAACCGTTCCCCTTTTGCTGTGCAGTCTTTTTGTTTGCTTTATAAGAGTAACATCGTACATGAAGAAGGGTTGTTCGTGATTGGTCAACCAATGAGACCATCAATGGAAATCAATAAATTGCTTAAATTGTGATGATTTGCTTTACAAAAATTTAAGCATTGTTCGTGCTATTACTATTACTAATTGTTGTTTATGGGTTTTTAAGGTGATCAACTACTCGGGCCGATCGTCCCCCATTTCGGAGAATTGGCTTCCGGGATTATCGTTTAACATTAAAGTTGATTTGCAGTTGTTTATTTTTATGGCGCAAACCAATCGATTATCATCCGTAATTGTTGAACTAAACGTGCATAGGAGTGCATGGAATATATCTCAAGGGGCAACTCTTTTCTGATAGGCTACTCACATTACATTGTCAGACGGCATTATTTCGAAAATGTAATGTTTGCACATATTTGTCTAATATGGCTTGCTGCGTACGGTCTGTTATAACCAATTTCATGAGGCATGCCCAGTCCATGTGGTGCATTGTATGACCACATCCCCTTAACTCGGGGGAGAGACTTTACATGGTTTAATTAGTTGATAATGAAGAAACAAAGAAGTTTAACATATAAAAGCGCGTAGGCTTGCTATCTTTTACCTTACCATCAAAAGTAAACTTATTATCTTGACGAGGTGATTGGTTATAAACAGGTATCTTAATTATTATGTGACTTTTTATTATGATTGTCGAATATTGGCTTGTATACATGTCATGCAAATTACACGTGATCGTAGTCAGTGTTGACTAGTGATTATGATCATTTAATTAATAAATACTAATACCAATAGTTAATGGTGTCACTTTCTGTAACTATGGAAATGTGGCTAAATTTAGTCGTACTTATATTATGTGATGGCAATTAATCTGTCGCACAATTTTCGCAACTCCCCAGTTGAACCCTCTGCCCGCGCAAAACTGCAAGAATACTAAACCTCCAACACCACACTCTTTTGCTATATATCTAACAACTTGTACGTAACCATGTCTAATGAGCGAGAGAAGCGAGCAAGACTTAGGTATCGTATCACCCGACTACCCATTCTATTTAATTCCATTAAAATTACTCTTACTACTACTGTTTTCTCTACTGTAGCCATGCCTGTGATCGTTGCAGAAAAAGACACGTCAAGTGTGACGGAGATTATCCCGTTTGTGGAAATTGCAAGGCTGCTAGCGGAGAATGCAGCTACAGCCATCCCGGAAGCAAGAGAGGTTATGCAGAGACGATAGACGATAGACTGAGCAAGGTATATGCGCATATACGTGAACGTCATAACGTGCAAGAATTCCGTGTGTTTACGATCTGTTGGCACTTTATAACGCTTTTATCTTTCTTGTTGGTAGATTGAAAAAGTACTTACACGATTTTTAGAAGGCGTAGACGGTCAAGAGCACCCCCAGCCTGAAATAAATAATAACTTGATGAAAGATACGCCAGCAGCGTCTACTTTTCACATGGTTATCCATCCAGACAGCAATGAGAACTTAAAGTCCATTCTAGAGCAAATGTCTGCTTTAGACATTGGGCAGGATTTGTTGACAAAGACGGGACAGCTCCAACAATCACCGGCACAATCACCACCATCGCAATCTCAACGTCAATCACAATCACAGCAACCACAAAAACAACCGCAACCGCAATCGCAAATACAGACACAAGAGCCTGCTCTGCCTCCAATGAATACAATCAGAGGATCAAAAGTCTTGCCACCAAAGGACTTGGCAGATACTTTAATTCAGGCATATTTAAAAAATGGTTATACTTTTCTTATGCCCATAATACATAAACCGACGTTTCTTAAACAGCTCAAGGACAAAAACAATCAACCCTCTTTACTTTTGCTAAATGCTATATTCGCTGCGGGCAGTCTTTTATGTGACGATCCACGTACGCGGTCTGACGAGAACGATCCTAATACAGCGGGTGACATATTCTATCTTCGAGCTCAAGGTATGATGGGTTCAATGATAGGGCGGTTATCATTTGACGACTGCAGTCGTGTCCGCCGAACTATTTCCAACACGCTATCGTTCAACTGTTCTATTGCTTTATTGCTTATTTACCTCCATTCGCGCTAATTCTATCGCTTCACAAATTTTATAGAGTTGTTTGACGATTTTATGGATGCACCCCGATTATCGACAATTCAGGTATTTAGTGCTGGCGACCCGTTACTTGATGATGCAATATGAAACTGATTTTTGGTTTGTGGGCACGACTTTTTTCCAAATAGGCTATTCTTATTCTTGCACATTTTATTATAAAATCGGTAAGTAAATTCTCATCGATGCAGTTAATTCATTGCGATCACAAGCATTAATAACAACAATCGTCAATTACCAAATATTCTGCGTAAACATTCACTCTGTCCATTACCGCTACCCCCATCATTTTGCTGATATGCTATTTTACTACATAGGAACGTAATTCAACTCGTTTGTGGATGTACGTTGGAGTGGCAATGACTATGGCAGTCGACCTTGGGCTATATAAAGATTCTCACGATTTACCCATAAATAGAGTGGAGAAAGCGATGCGCAACCGATTATTCTGGGCAACGTTTAATTGCGAAGTTATCTCATACGCATGCTTTAGGTATTTTCTTGAATTTGTGTGCTTCTCTATGTCCCTCACTTTTTTTCATAAAATTATTTAAACATCTCAACACGTTCTCTCTAAAATAGAAAAGCTCTCCCTATACGCGATTGTGATCTTCGATTACCATACGAAATAGAGGAAGACGGGGACGATGCGGCCGAGATAGTTAATTTTATGCACCTTACCAAATTAATGAAAATATTTGCAAACGTATTGCAGTCACGTCCGTATGTCTCCCAAACACTTAATATACGCAATACTCTCCCAGCACTGGATGCTACATTGAATTCATGGCTTGCGAGATTGCCTGCTCAATTACGATGCGACCATTTATCCGTGGTGGAAGATCCTGAACCGAAGAGCATTAGCACATACGTTACTTCCCTTCATCAAATTTACTACACCGCTCTCATACACGCACACAGACCATACATTGGATCAGACAAATACCCAAACATCGAGTCGAAAAGTATATGTAGCGAAGCGGCTATGAAAATCACTCGATTAGGCAGCTGCTTGCCCATGACAGAGAGAGGTACTTATTTTACGTATAGTCATAGCGCATGGGCTCTTATGACAGCATCAATGGTCCATATGGCAGATATGGCAGATCCAGAAACGTATACCCGTGGAGATATATATACGCAATTGACATTCAATCGTCTAAGGGACATAAGTAATAACGCACGTTTAACTGGTGGGAACTGTGGTTTAGATGGGACAATAAAGGTATTAGAACAATTATATGATGATGCCCTGAAATCTCTAGGAAAACACGAGACGTCGAGTGAAGCGGACGAGAGCAGGAGCACGATTAGTACAAACAGTTCGAACAACTCGAGTGGTAGTGACAGTAATCCTAATTATGATTCTAGTGGTAGATACGACAACACGAAAACAATTCCAACGCCTCCTCAAACCGCGTTGGACTCTAGAGATGCTGATATGAATGCTCTCAAGACCGAGAACATGATAGATGCTAATAGCAATGCAAATATATCGAGCTCAAATTCAACTTCGCCTATAATAACGGTTACGAAAACCGACACCACATCTATTGCGCCAGATGCAAATACGTCACAAGGACAAACTCAAGGACAGAAAAGAGAGCAGATTAGAAGGCAACCGGTGCGACAACTAAATCAGCAACAAAATCAACGACCACACCGTGCTACAACGCCAGAAGAGCCACAATCACAGTCACAAGCACAATCACAGTCACAGGCACAATTACAATCCCAAGTACAAGCACGAGCACGAGCTCAAGCCCAAGCCCAAGCTCAGGCCCAAGCCCAACCGCATCCTTCTTATTCATATTCGTCTCGTCTGTCTCATCAACCACATAATGTTTCGCAGGCACAACCTCAATCAAGAAGACAAGAAAATTATGCTCAATATTTATCAATAGGCCCTACTGATTTAAAGACTAATCCAACTCCGGAACCGTCTCCTAATTTCCCACAACATCCCCAATATCGTGAATACTCTCAGTCCCAAGTATCAAATGCTGACATTGCAGGTCATCTCGTGAATCTTCCAATGAGTCCGCTGGTGCTCAATGACATGGCGCCGATGTCTGAAGCTCCAATTGTTCCGTCTTCGCAGAACTTTATCACTAGTAACAATGGAATGGAATATGCTACTCAGAGAAATGATCCATATTGGGAAGTAAATTGGAGTATGGAAGACGATCACAATGATCATACCCAGGCATCTAACACAGTTCAGCATGAAATAAATTATCCATACAATGGTCATCATCAGACATCTCCGCCTATATCTTCGACTCCAGGAGCTACCAGTACATTAGCGGCAATGGCCACGGTGGCTAATCATTCACAAATCCATCCTGGCCAGGCATCACATTCCTTCTTGATCTCTGACGCTGCGGGGGGACCAATGTTACTGAGCAATGCTAACATCGTGCTAAATATAGATGGACACGATATGTCACATGTAATGGGAAATTCACCAGAAAATGCGAATCGAAGGACAAATAATCAAAGTGGCGAAAGAAATCCGAATGGGAGAGGATTCGTAAATGGACATAATGGAGGGATAGATAATTTTTCGAGCGCAATGTCGAATGTACAAATACAGCATGCACAGCCGAATGCTCTACAATATCACCAAATACATGGTGTTGTTACACAAAGTGAAATCGAGACAAATGAGCAGCGATGGTTTGTTTATAAACAATAACATATATAAATAGAGCGTATGTGTGTCTTTATTGGTATGATTATCATAGTAATTTAACCGTATTTTTTTAGCAGTGAATTCCAATATGAGAATCCTGTACTAGTATATCGATAATTCTTGATACGTTCATGTATTTATGTATAAATTGCTCGTATATATTCAACTTGTTCTCTTAATGTTTGTATATTTTGGTTCTTTGGTATTCTATATTCATGTTAATAACCAGTCAAAAATTGGGGAGGGATCAATGGACTTTATTGATTTTGGGCGTGGAATTAACATCTGTATAAAATACGCAGCGTTGAATTTTTAATTAAAAACATATATAAAATATAAACCAATACTGCAATATTGGATAAATAAACCCTTACATACTCTGAAACGTAACGTGGCCCGTACAACAATTAATTGCCTTTTTTCCCCTTGTTTTTTAACCATTATTATTATTATCGTTTTGTCTCTTTCTTTTAAGAATACCAGTGCATGCGGCATCTTCCTTATCCCTGTGTTTCTCACAACACTTTACAAGTTTAGCAATCACATCTTGACATCTACTTTCTTGATAATCGTTTGCTGATAAGCATGCTTGAATGGCACACGCAGCGGAATGACAAGGTGACGATGGCTCGGTTTTCCTCATTAGTAACATAAACGTTTAAAGGGTTTGTAATCGAAAATCGAAAAAATCGAAAATCTAAATCGAAAATCGAAGATTCTACGTTTTGTATTCCGAAATAATTGGTTGTTTCTGTTTCTTTGTGTTGTTGCCGGAAAAGGAAGTTGAACAAAATGAGCGAACAAGGCATGCATGCTCTCTGATTAATATTATCATGATGTAATGGAGCACGTGTTTGGATGTTTATGCAACGATCACGAATAAATCTCATTGGTCAAAAATTCTTTAGTTACCGGGCCGAAAAAAGGAAGTATTTTTTCATGTAAAGGATAACAAAGGCATGCTGCGGGTGGAGTGGAAAATCTACCTGGTTGAAAAACTCATAAATTGGCAAGGTTTTTTCCTCCCGTGTCTGAACAACAACCGACTGAAGAGACCTTATAAGCATTCAAACATTACAGTAATTTTTCAAACACGTTTTTTACGAATCTCAATTATCTCAATATACACAAAGTCCTGTCTAAAAAATGTCCCAACATTCGAATTACATTGATAGCGCGGACTTTCAAATTGTATGGCGTAATGCCATTAGACAAGAAATAAAAAGGATTAAACGTAAATACGGGGTACTCCTAACAGCGTTACCGCTTGAAGATCTATTGGCTGGTTCTAAAAAAACGCGTGGGGACAAAGGAATTGGGAGAGAGCAGAACGCGTTTATTCTTTATAGGAAGGACTTACAAGCTAAACTGAAGAATGAAGGTCAAAAACTAACTAATGCAGAGATATCACGTATAGCCAGTGCTGAATGGAGTAAGGAGAGCAATACGGTGAAGAACTTTTTTACTGTTCTCGCCCAATCGGCCACCAGAATTCACAGAAAGTTATTTCCCGGCTACCGATATCATCCTAATGTTAATAGAAAAACGAATACAAAGGGTAAAAGACAACAATAATACTCTTGTATTAACATCAGCAGAAGTAGAAAGTTACGAGCTTTCGCCAACATTCAATGAAAAAGTCTTGAACACAGATACCGATGCGGACGACGTTACATCAGACAACGAATTTTCCGAACCCATAGTCGTTGCAGACGTACCAGGAGATTCCTTGTAAATGGGAATGAACGACCGGTGGATTAGTTCGGTAGTCTGTAGGTTGGGGCCTTAATAACTAATAAAAATAACTAAACAAAATAACGCGCGTTGAGAAATAATAATTAATTATCCTAATTGCCACTCGATCGACCGCGAGACAAGTATTACGACCGATCTTGCCGTTATACGGATTAATGCTTTCAAATATAACGGAATATTCAGGGAAAGAATTATCGTTTCAGAGTAAATGGGTACTCGTTTATTAACAAGAATTAAAATATAAAGGGGTATCGAACGTCTTCGATAGGAAATATCGTAGCGAACACTAAACGGAATATTCAGAACACTGAGAACACGAGCTAGAACACACCGATGCTAAACGACTTCTAAGCTGCTTATATACTTTATCGTCTACTAATTGATCTATTTTTAGCATCGTTCTAATTTCTAATTGCTAATCTACCATCACTATTGTTACTAGCCGTTGCTGCGCAAATAGCAGTTTCTGCCCGTACGACGATTGCAAATATTTGCTGCCGGTACTACTTTACTGCATTAGCAGCTGCCCGTATCACCGTTCGGCATTTGTCTTACATTCTCTTCGGCTCTTGATCCTCACAGTTGACAATAAATTGAGAGCTATATGCCCAAATTGTACAAAAGTTTTTATCCAAAAATTACATTAGAATCATTTTAAGACAGGTAATAGAGGAAGTCAAATTTCGGCGCTTTGTAAATAAAGCTTATTAATCAGAAGAATGTCAGAGAAGATACAGATTTGTCTGCTTACAGCATTGCGACGGCGAAGGTTTTGTTTACTTGTGTGACCTCATTCTTGAACAGGTGATCTGTCTCGAACTCACGAGAACGGCATATTAGCATTAGCAGACTATGACTCAAGTATGAGTCATATGCAAATCGTGTTACCTTGACGAACTATATATAAACAAAACTTGTTAGGTCCATAATTCTCACCTCACCCGGTGACGTATTTCGCACTGATATCAAAGTCTTATACTTTACGATGTCGACGGGAAAATCGCATATGACCACGCAAGATGCAGCTCGAATCCAGTCGGCTCAAGCTCGCGCCCATGGCGGAAAAGTTGAATCGGGCACTTTTGCTGCTAGGGCACAATCGGCAGCGGCCCGTAATGTAAATACAGGAAAAGTTTCCAGCGGCGGATCTAAAGGAAGTGGCGGCGGTAGTCGCGGAGGAGGGCATCGTAGCGGCGGAAAGCGTTAACAAACGACGGACACGTTACGTTCGAAGAAGTATTGAAGAGCTTGTGTTTATGGGGAAGCCGTGTATTGTTTTAGTTGGCGAATTTCAACTTTTTATTATTATGTACGGAATGAAGGCTTTCCTCGTCTTAATAACATTCATGAGCCCTTTGTGTGGTGTCATTTCTATTCCTTCAAATATTTGGCTTACCCGCAATTTTCAAGAATTCGTTGCATGTATGTTTCTTGCTTAAAAGTAAAGACAATAACTTTTGTTTGCCTTCTGTCAAGCAATTAAGAATTCGTTACATTCATGTCTCTGATTAAAGTAAGGACAATGGCTTTTTGTGGTGGCATGAAATGTCTCTTCATTGATTCACGTGTCGACATATCAGATAATGCGATCACATGGCAAAATGCTATATTTACGATATGATGTAGGTAACGGTAGTACCAACCTTTTAGCGAGAATGCCGCTTGCAAACCCTATCAATTTCCCAAAATGGCTCTCTGAACACGAGCACCTTCTCCAACCGCCTGTGAATAATTTTTTGCTACAGCGCGGCGATTTCATAATTATGGTCGTTGGGGGACCTAACGCCAGAACCGATTATCATATAAATCAGACGGAGGTAATCGGACAGAACATGGGACTAGTAAAGTGGCGGTAATCAATCATTTTCCCTCGAGTATAAGGATAGTTGACTGATCTTTTATTACGAATGGATTACTTGCATTTACGAAGGAATGGTTTTACCAGTATAAAGGGGATATGCTACTGAAGGTGGTGGACGGAGATGAGTTCAAAGATATCGCCATTCGGGAGGGCGGGATGTTCCTGCTTCCGGGTAATTTAATCTTAATTTTTGTTGAAAGTTTTTTAATCTGCGACATAAACTTGAATGTGCTTTCGATTACGTGTTAGCCAACACTCCTCACAACCCCGTGAGGTTTGCTGATACTGTCGGAATCGTTATTGAGAGGAATCGTAGCTCGGATGAGATTGGTATGTTTAAGATTGAGACGCACTCTCGTTTTCACCTAGCTGACCCTGTCTTGCAATTTGATTACATTGCAAATATAGATAAACTTAGATGGTATTGCTCGACCTGCAAATCCATCGTCTATGAAGAATCATTTCATTGTTATGACCTTGGCACGCAGTTGAAACCGATCATTCAAAAGTATGCGAGTGATGAACTCTTGCGAACTTGCAAAGGATGTGGGAATGTTAATGAAGCCAAATAAGCAATATGTTGGTGAGGAAGCGCGCGGAAGAAGATAAGAATTCCGTTTGCTCAATTGAGGGTCGGGTATCGTAGATGATGCAAAGTCTCTACTGGTTAGCATTCTCCACAAAGTTTATTCTATTTTTTTCAAAGATTGTTAACTTAAAACACAAACATAATAATTGTAATGTCCATCGAAATACAAGTGCACACGACTTGACCCTGAGATAACTTCGTTTATCCGTGACTACCCGGATGGACGTGATGATTCCGTAGTATTTCCTCCCTTCTCTATAGAACGTCGTTCTTTCTCTCTTTCTTGCCGTTCAAGCTTCTCCCACCCTAATGTTCAAAACGTCAAATATAGTTGCATCAAGACAAAGAGCATGTTATAGATATATAAGTTGTATGACGATATCTACATTCAAGCTTTTCAGTCGGACGTCTGTTATCGGCTGCTTGTTCTCGTCGACGAGCATTTATTTCTTTCTTTGCAAAATAATATGCAGCTCCGCCGGCTAATTCGAGAATAAGATTAGGATTAGATGCACGAGCTGAAGCCATATAATGGGTCATAGCAGATAGAAGAGATAGTGGATGGAATCGAAGTTCATACCTATTATTAACGAAATCCTGAAGGAGAAGAAAGGCATGTGAGATCGGAATAAGACAAAAGTTTTGAACAAAATCCTTCAATCGTTGACTCACCATCCGATCGCAACAGAATTGGGTGTGTTCATTATTGATCAAAAATTTCTTGTGCGGGTGCGGGATATTTTAATTTGTTCAAACTATCTCGAGGGAAACCGGAACAATGTATTAATAATCCCGTGATCTCCCGAGATCTACCAAAAAATGATCGGTGAAATCATTGCAAGTACAGTCAACTCTCTTTATAACGACCTTCTTTATAACGACTGGCGCTTTATAACGACCGCTGTGCTCTGCCCGTTTTCAAAAACGTTGTATAATTTATTATATGTAGTACGCTGCGTATCACGACCGATTTTTCCCAGCCCGAGGCGGTCGTTATAAAGAGAGTTAACTGTATAATAATAACCAAGTTTAATTATCCCGCATAGTTTGATACCTCGATTGTATATATTATATAGTCGAATCTAATACTTTAATATGGTTGGTTTATTTTAACTATTTAATGGTTTTCCTTACCTGGAGCTTATTCACACCAAACGCGTCCCCAAACATTTTGTTGGCAGGTAAGATAACTATCGCTTTGTATTTTTGTGCTCAAACTTTTTATAATTCATTCCTGTCCCCCTCCACCTTCCTTTTATTGAATCTATGCTTATGTATAGTAATTAATTTCTGCTTTTTCACGGAATTAGTTTTAAAAGTAGTTATATTATGCAGTGTTGGTATGCCGGAGGGATTGGTTAAACTACTCGTCACGCGACGTGAGAAATATGAAATTTTTTCGTTTATTTGACCATACTAATGCGTATAAACTTTTAATCATTGGTTAATTTGACGTATAAATAGTATTACGATTACACCCATCATATGATCATTTCCACTTATGTAATTGGTTGATTAAATTTTTCAATGTAGACATTAATTTCATTAATAAAGATTCTGATTATTGATCTCTATTAATATGCAAAGAGTATTGACATTTAACAACTTAAACATTACAATAAGAGACAGACTATATTAATATGGCACGGGACCCTCTTACAAAAACAACTTAAATTAATCTACCAGAGTCTACAAAATTTGCATGTAAATGATTATATTTTGCGAGAGATGAAGTAATCCCAAATTCAGAAGATCCAGCAATGAGGTAAAAACAAGCAAGCAAATAAGCAACAGTATTCCGATGCATCAAACTGGCGGAGAAAAAAAAATTCTTTTTTTAAAACTAAAAAAATGAACTCACGCGCACACACCCCCACGAAAGCGTGGCGGTCAGAGTTTGATTGTGCAAGACATGTGATGAGAATTATGTAAAAAGAGTTGTCTATAGAGCGAGAAAATGTATTAGAACTGTGACGAGTTCTTTTAGAAGCTAGCCAAGCAATAAAACTAACATACCTAATACCTTATTTATTACTTTTGTTCATTTGATTTTGCTTCTTCTATAATTCACAGGATCGATTTTGTTATGCACTTTTTGGAGAAATTACATTAATAATACCCACACCATTATAACTAGAATCCACAAATCTACACTTAGATGTAATGGAGTTGACACGCACCATTGCATAAGTATGACCTAAACTAGATTGAACGTGTCACATGCTATCTAATACGATTGAAATTTCGGACAGAAAATTAATAGATGAAAGGATTGACGGTAAATATATCAACATTTGAAACGCTGATTTTTAAGGTCCAAATGGTTTATCCCGGAAAAAGTAGTAGCAGGAAACACGCACGATTTATTCGGGATTTTTTTAATACAACCCATATTAACATGTAAACTGCGAATTACGTGTTTATTCAAACAAATATTGTAGATTGGCTTTGTTTATACGAACGGACTAATTACTGTCTTCGTAACCCGAACTATCTCTTTTACTTCTTGTCAACGTCCGACAAGCTCAAATCTGATAAGGAAGGTAACTGATGAGAATCGTAGCTTTTTCTTGGTTTAGGCAGACCTCCAGTAGGTAAGAGCGTACTAGAATATTTACTCTCCTTCTCGAGTCGTGACAAGGGTTTTACATCATTACGGTAAACGGTATTTCACATGTTGTCATCCTTGTCGATCTCTTTACGAATATTGCTAATATCATCCAAAATTGTCTTTACACTTGGACGCTTATCAGGATCGGCATTACAACACCGCTCGGCAAGCTTCTTGTATTCCTCTGGTCGGAATCAGTCGTAGTCCGTCCATAATGCTGCATATTCTGTCGAATTGCCTATTTCTAAAAGGTGGCTCACCAGTTGCCATCAAATACATAATAATGCCAAAAGAATATACATCCGATTTCTGAGTAAATTTGCGAGTATTGAAAGACTCCGGGCAGAACGCCTTGAATTGTTGACTTACGTGAATTCACCGATCGTGAGAGACCAAGGTCGCATGTGAATGGTCCGTCACTGCCTAGCTTCACTCATGTTTGATACATCTGAAAGTGGCTTGATAGCAATAAACCTATAACTCTCATTCTTATTAATTGACCTGCATATTAAGATTGTCCGTTAAATGAGGTGCACTAGCTGGACCAGTTTTTAGAGTCTTCTTAATACAGCAATAAATTCCTGTCAATGACATTCTGTAAAGTCATCTGCCAAGTAGTTGCCATGAAATCTTTGCAAACTGTTACTCATTTTGGCAACTCGTTACTCATTCTGCCATAAAACCGTAACCAATTAAATTTCATCGATTACATCCTTGAAAATAAAGAAATATCAATATAAGACGCTTGCAAGTTCAGTCTTTTCTAGCCTGCAAAGTGCAGGCTTTCTGTACGTTATTGAGAATGTGGCGCAAACCTTTTATGCAGAGAAAGCAGAATTGAAGTTATGACGATTGATGAATAAATTTGATTCAAATTGACGGGTTGCCTTCACTTAAAAATATGTGTGCGTATTGGTCCGCTATTTACTATCAAAATTTCATTGTTTGGACATCAAATGAACGTATCAGCCATTGCACGTGCTTGTTACCGAATTAGACATAGACTGTTTCCATTGTTTGAATTTTAACTACCTAATGAAGTAACACAAATTGTCAATCTCTTCAAAGAGATTAAAAATAGAACAGATAAGAACCAATATTAATATTTAATAATATTCTATTACTATAACTTTCCTCAAATATGAAACGTTCTACAGCCTTATTCCACTCTGCGAAATTACAAACCTTAGACAGGATACACTCGAAAGCACGCTTTGCATGCATAGAACAACGTCTACAGAATTCACGCTAGAACACCTTTATTCTCTCTTATCACTCTCGACGAAACAATGATATCATTAAAAGTAATAAGCTTTATTAGGAAAATGTCTACCACCAAGAAAAAGAAAAAGAAGAGGAAGAGACAGACAGCATATTCTGCTGCTACAACACCAAAGTCAACGAGAAGCAGTCACACAGATATAACCTCGGAATTGACCTTAACAGGAAGTTGCACACTTATAGACGTTGGAAGAGTGGAAGCGTTTAGTACACTGAGAGAAATAGAGTGCGAGTCGATTATGTCGAGTAAGTTTGTTTGGGAGGGAAAAAATGTGGATGGAAAGTTCGGACGATATGTCTGTGAATCGGTTGAGAGAGAATGAAAAGAGGCAACTATACGTGCGGAACATGATTGACTAGAATAAAAGAATTGAAGCATGCTGACATGGTTGGGTACATAAAACGGTGCTAGGCGGATTCATCTCATAGCAATAACGATTAAATTATAAACCTTGGTACTCGCACAACCATTTTTATTTCTGAAATCATATTAATATTAATACTTGTTTCTCCTTCGCTGCACCATAGTGGGAACGATATCTTCAACGACACGCCACATAAAACAAACAATACGCACACATTTATACGGACTCTGTCCCGGCTGTCACGAACCAAAGATAGATCAAGTATGGTGTGGATTTTGCTTAACGCCGCATGTTAGCCAAAGTTGGACGTCCGGAGATCGAGTATTGGATGAGTTTATTAGAAATACGCAGAAAAATGTGAGAGACTATCATGAGAGATTTTTGGAATGGGTGCCGTGGGAAAGGATTGGTGAGATTAGAGTTCGCAAAGACAAGAGTGAACAAAAGTATGGGAAAGCGTTCATAAACGATAAGAACAGTGCGGGACTTGGAATCGGAAAAAGACAGGTCGCTGTTTGGTTTGATGGTGAAAGAGATAGACGTATTGGAGATCGAACTGCGCCTGTTAAGGTTATCTTAGAGCCATTGGATTGTGATGGTTTTTTTACATCCGAGTATCTTGAGAAGGTAGTAGTAACATAATCACGGTTTACCTTTCATGTTATTTGTTTTTTCAGTTGGCTTCTGACAGCCCTTCTTTTTTTTTCCCCTTCCCCACATTCGATTCAGTTAATCAAAAAGTACCCATTCATAACGTCTCCCGACAACTACACGATATACGGGTTCACATACAATCCTTCTCTTCACCCACTCGGTTCTTCTCTCTTATCTTCATCCTCTCTTCCAAATTCCTTTTCAGTTTCTTCTTCTCCAACACGCCCAACCTATTTTCTTCTCATAAACTATCGCGCTCCCACCCTAACCGAGCTCTATTCCCTCTGCCTCTACTGCCATCAACCGAAACTCGATCCTCTTTGGTGTGCCTCTAATGCCTGCGAACTTCCTAGTTTCAATCCAATCTCCTCCGATAACAGTGAAATAGACGAATTTGTTTGGGCAACGCAGAGAATTGTTAAAAAACGGCCGGACACTTTCTTAGAATATGTACCATTTGGAAGGTTTAAGAATATCCGAAAAATCGGCATGGGGTGTTACAGTGTTATGTATGAAGCGATTTGGAAAGATGGAAAGAGAAAAGCATACGAAAAAGGAAGGACTAGTGAGATTAAGGTTGCGCTGAAGCTGTTAAAGGGAACGGGAAGTGAGAATACGAGTAGAGGCTTTTTTGATGAGGTGAGATGAAATGTAAGGGAAGGGAGAAAAAATAGTATCGAATTTGACGGGGTGGGCTTGATAGGGGTGGTCGTGGCGTACAGTTGTAGTTTGTGTTTATACGTGTTTCATTATACATACCACTTCGCTCACGCCCCCTTATGCACGTCTTACTTTTTATCAGCTCAAAACTCATTACCTACGTACCAGTAGTGCCCACGTCTACTTTCCAACGCTTTATGGCATATCTCAAGATCCCTCTACTGGGGAACTTATTCTTGTAACCCAGTTTGCTGCAAATGGTACCCTCCGTGACTATATCCGGTACGAATTCCCGACAATATCCTGGCACACAAAGTTATCGATATTAAAAACTGTAGTCTCAGGATTGAACAGCATACATGAATTGGGCATGGCACATGGAAACTTACATAGTGGGAATGTGTTAAGAAGTTATGGTTCTCGAGAATTGGGAATTGCAGGTGAATTTTTCTTGGCTGATTTTGGTGTTTGTAAAAGTTGCATACTTGAATCGGATGAGGACAAGGACCAGGGCGAGGATGAAGATAAAAACGAGGACGAAGGTAAAAACGAGGACGAAGATAAAAACGAGGACGAAGATAAAAACGAGGACGAAGATAAAAACGAGGACGAGGATAAGAACGAGGACGAAGATAAGAACGAGGGCGAGGATAAGGGCCAGGGCGAGGATAAGGGCCAGGGCGAGGACGAAGACAATACGGGACAATTAATAAAAGATGAAATTGGAACCGAATCTAAATGTGAAAATCCAAATGACGAACACTCGGATGTTGGTAGTAATAACGACGCAGTGTTCTCACACCCTTCACCTGTAAAAGGCGTTCTACCTTACCTGTCTCCTGAAAGCCTACATTCTTTTCCGCCTACGCCTTCTTCCGACATTTACAGCCTGGGTATTCTGATGAGCGAACTAATGACTGGTACTTTTGCCTTTTCTTCTCGAGCACATGATTACGATCTCGCCCACGATATCTGCCTTGGTCTTCGCCCTAAATTGGATGAAGATATAATACCAAGAAAGTACGTTGACGTGGTCAAGCAATGTTTAAATGCGCAGAGTGAAGAGAGACCGAGCGCGGAGAGTTTGTGCGATATCTTTGAGGATTGGAGCAAAGATGAGGTCATGTATGAGGCGTTTTTGAACATGGAGAGAAAGACAGAGAAAGTGGGAGATGACAGTAAGCAGTCAGATGGCGACGGTAAAGGTGGAAATGCAATGCACGATGAAGTGATATATCATTCCCGGGTGTTTGCGTTTCATGGATTGCCTACTCCAGTTAATGACGGTCTGACAAATATAGATGTAAAGGACAATCACGTTGCTTAATACAAAGCAGATTTTTTTTGTACATTTATTTCGTAGAATATCTATCACATAGACATATTAATTTGAATGACTATGGGGGGATAGTTTATAAATATTAGGACTAATGTATAAATATGTATAAACCGTTAAATGGACTTTGTAAAAACATTATTTTTAATGCTTTGTTCGTCTTCAGTGCTAAAACGATAATTTGATCCCAACTACTCCGGAGAAGCTGACCAACATTTCAGTGTGGATAATGATTTATCCACATAGTAATAATTAGGGAAGAGGATCAATTCCGCGAATGATGGTATATTGTATGTCGTTCATTACATAATTTTCTGTATTATTACTCGTATTGGCATTCGAGGGTGAGGTAATATGCTGTGCGGCGACATTGAGTATAATGCTTGGAGTGTGTTGAGCGAGTCTGTAGGATGTGATTAAAGTATGTATCCAGAAAGGAGTGTTGGGTGTAAAGCTCAATTTTAATAATGGAGAAGGTGTCCATATTGTTTATGTTTATATTTTACAAGAGTATGTAAATGAGGTATAATATTATACGACGGATCACAAGTATGAATAAACTTTTGAGATTTTGTGATAATTAGGGTCTTCAATTTGTCTCTATTGGACGACATAGCGTTTCTGGCGTGTGCAAACGATTGCTCTCCTTCAGCATTGTTGATGTGCAATTCGAATTAAAGATTTCCATATACCGCGTTCTCCGGTTCAGAGGAAGGAGGTTCTCAAACGTACAATAGGTCAAATTGTGGGTGATGAAGGATCTATAGTCATATCTTTTTTATCATAGACATTGGTCATATGATGTGAGCATTTATTGCAATTCACAGGATGACATAGTATCGGAGTTAAGTAGAATGGTTGTATCTTGCATATCTACAAAATTAAACAAGACGCGTGATCAATTTTATATGAGTCGTTTTGACAATGGACTGCTAGTGACTACATACTAATAATGACTATAACCGGAGGGACTATAGATAAAGATCGACTGTAGAGGTTTGCCAAATCTCGATTGCTCTCCCGTGGTAATTGCTCGAAATGCGCATATCAATTACAAACGATTAGCTTTTCCAAGACGGTCGTGTATATACGCTAATTTTCTGTACAGTTTAATAAGAGTTAAACGTAATTTTCGATAAGTGATTCCATTAGACGTGAGCGACCAGCGAGTTTGCCAATTCTGCCCCAACTTTTTCATTATAATATGAGGTAACCTCGTTCAAACAATTGGTGAATTGATTTTGAATGAGTCAATATTATACGAACCACATAAATTGAATAATTGATTCTCACCAAGCGCCATGTGTTCGACATGTTGTATCGTCATGAATTAAGAGAAAAAAAAGTAAAGACAAAAAGATCTAATTCATGTTAAATTACCATAATACATTGCTTACTGCAGTCTAGCTCTAATTAAAGCAGTCTCCCATATTAAATTAATATATTCATAAAATATTCTATTAAATATGCTATATTTTACACCCATTCAACTCTCTTTAAAAACGTACATATATCCGAGTCATCAAGAGGATGACACTTTTTGCAAAAGTTCTCGTGTGTTTTGTCTTTTTTCCACGCAAAGTAACTTTCGTACAGTGTCTTATTATTGGCTATCCGTTCAGTATGTTCGATTAATGCGCTCATGCTCTCATAATCTGCGACTTTAATCACACTCCCAGGGGGAACATAATCATCGATATCAGACGCTCCCATGTATATAGGAATGGCGTCCACCAACAGTGCATCGTACACCTTTTCCGTCACATATCCATCACAATTAGAGTTTTCAAATGCAAGAATAAATTTATACGGAGAGAGAATGTCTCTCTTAACTTCATACATATGTTCTGTCAAATGACCTGGAGCTAGACTCTTTTCCAGTCCGTATTTCGCCAGTATGTCGTCGGGAGCATCCTGATTATGCAGACAGCTACCGTACGCATGTACTTTTGTATGTTCCATTAATTCTCGGATATAATGCTCCCGCTTATTCGGTGCATCGCAATTAACAGCCATCCACGCAAATAATACGTCGTTGCGTTTGTTTTCGAATTTCACATGAGTATCATAAAACATGTCAACATTACTAACTTCATGCGTCGGCTTGTATATGTCAAACAACTTATCGGGCGACCCCATCGTTAAATCAAACATGTATTGGAAATTTTCTAATCCGACAAATGAATAATATCCCAATCCTTCGTCTGGAAAAAGCAGCCACCATGCCTGGTTTGAGCGTCTGGGTGGCATTTGAGTAATATCAAAGAATGGCGCTTCTTCTTCTTTGAAATAGAAGGGATAATCCATAAACATAATGTCTGATTCTCGCCAGAGGGTATAATTGGTATGAATTTGATACGATTGACCGTTTTTGCAGGTACCTCTGTAACCCGGTAGATATGTACGCCAAAACAAACAAGGAGCGTATCCAGTTGGCCATTCGTTAACTTTGTTCGTTACGAATTTGTTATATAGTCTTTTAAAGAATGGGATCAACTCTGGCGGATATTGGCATAGGTCTTTCGATATTTTTTGCCAGTCAGTGCCTTCCGGCGAAAAAGTCACTTGCCGCCAATGAAATATAGAAAGTTCTCTTTCCGCTGGACCATACGCTTTGAATGATTTGCGTTTAGTATGGTTATTTTTTGTTAGAACAGAACATGTTGCAAAAGAATATTCGGAGGAAAAGGGACCGAGAGGTTCTTTATAAGCGGGATCGAGAGATTCAGGTGTGGTTATGAAATGTGTTGCTGATTGGTGTAAGAGCAGTAGAAATGCCACAATTGTTATCAATAATAAAAGCCGTTTTACAAGCGGCCGCGTTACAATGTCAATGCAATATCTTGTATTTACAGTCGCTTTGAGCTTGGCCATGTTAATATTAACTGTTTAAGCGATAATCAATGTCAATGCTCCTAACGTGCATAGATATGCATCCGTGTAGCCTTTCTAATAAGTACACACAACTAAATATGGTAATTGAGGGCAATGTTGTGTGCTCTCATCAGTTGAGGAGGTAACGATTTTGTTATGGATGAAGACAAGGTGGTAATTTTGCCAAAGATTTAGCTGTTGTTTTTTCTTTTTTCTGGATTTGTTTTTAGCCAGAATCAATTTTTTGGGGTGGTGGAATTATTGCCACTCTCTGATAAAATTATTGCTACCTGTGAACAGTACAAGAGCGGGTAAGGAGTTAAGGAGTAAGAATACCCATAATAAAATTATAAGCACGCGTGTTAGTCTATATTTCTCGCATATCAGGCTAAAATCTGTTTCAATATTAACTGATTACTTGATCTACTTGCATCTTGTTTTTATTAACTAAACGCGCTGTCGTCTATGTTGCTGTTATAATGGTACATCCTGCCCGTCTTTTAACACGTACCAGCGTAACGCATGTAGAGACGCTGTATACTGCCTGCTATAGGATATTTCGTGACCTATGACTGTTTGAGGTGCCGATCATGGACCGAGCGCCGAATGCTATTCTATGTGTATTATTGACGAATTATCAGAGTATTCGTTGATAGCACGCGACTACTTGTAATTAGCAAATGGCTGGTGAATACTTTCTACTGTGAGTAATTGCTTCACCGCATCGCGAAAGAATCTACAATCGATGCCATTAATTATTAAGTTTCTGTAGATATGCACTTTTTTTTTGTCTGCAAGATTTAAAATGATAAAAGTGCTGGGCCGTGCTTGTTACTGTGTCCATTTCGCTGCCAGAATCTCTGTTTCCTTGTTTCACGAGGATGTACTATAATATCATCCATAACTCGTTCATTCTCCACTTTTCTAATGCCTACCACTCGGTATTCAGTAATTACTCCAGTTTAAATTGAGAACAGAAATAGTAAAGATAAATACAATGTGGACGATCTGTGGAACTTGACTCTATCGCTAGGCGTTCAACTCACTTTTGCAATATTCCCATATTGCCATATAAATTATTCAGTCATATTGCAACCCGTATTTAGTCAGTCAATAGACATTTCTAAAGTAAACCCATGGGTTAGCAATATCCTTGTGCCATTGGAACAAATTGCGTATAAAAATAAAGTAAATGTAGACAAGCCAAAGAGAGACCGACTCATATTAAAATCAATTAGTTGCCCCGATTTTGCAAATTTAAATGGAGATATAACTTGAATGTTGGATATAGAGTATGTATAATAATGATCGCTAATCACAACACTTTTTACTTTCAAAACTTGGTGGACTGGTCATCAAATAAAGGAATGAAGCATGTTGAAAGCATATGTCTTTGGAAATAAGGGGCGTAGTAGTGATGGTATAATAATAAGATAAATGTAAAGAAAGTAAGAGCACAAATATTTTGATGCTTGCTTTATACGAATGGGATAAAACTGTGGGAAGACTGCTGATTATTAATTATTACCCGACCAGCAGACACAGATGAAAAACAGACCGATTCCTTCTGGAGCGACGGGTTACCTGTTGGGGTTATTCCGTTTACTGATAACTTTCTGAAATTCTTTTGCACATCTCTGATAATATTTCATATGGCAAACAAACTAATTTCAGGGGGTCAGACTATTAAGCTACAGCGTTACATGGTGACGGTTAATGGGTTTTCTATATTTGTTTGATAATAGTCCCTGAATCGGTCTATTGCCGATTGATATTGATTATCAAATCCAGTGTAAACAAATTCTCTGTATAAGATTTATTTACATTAAGTCAACTACGATTAAAAGAATACAGGGCGGCGAGGCATAAACTGTAAATATTTTGAAGACATCCAAATGCTGCAAACCTCTCAAACGTTCACGATCTTGTACTTACGATCTATTAAGCCAAAAAAGTACCAACCTTGTTATTCTACCAATCGAATAAAAGTTCCTCGCGATAGTTATTCTTACCAATCTGCGTCTTTGCGGTTTTACCATTTATTTAGCATACTAACCTTTTATGTACATCCATTTCCTGTAACATCTGTTCGATCTTCACTTGGTGATGATTACATGTGAATGTGGGTTCATGCCGCGTGCGTAGTGTCTATTGGCCGAATATAAAAAATACAACGAACTGGAATAGTAAATAATGTGAGTAGAAAGTCTTCTATTATTTCGGCGAGATTTCCTAATTTGTGAAACTAGATTGTTTACATTAACTATAATCATATGAGAGTCGCTATCGTATTTCCATATTATAAAATCAACATTATATATATATATTCACGGGTTTTGTTTCTCTTTCTCCAATATCGGTAAAACGCTACTAACGATAATCCCTTTCGATCTTCTTTCCCTTATAATGTCGTTTTTTCAAACACATCCATCTTCACCCATCCGCCCAACAATAAACTTTCCAGCGACTTTTGAACAAAACTCTCACTCTATCGAGACTATAATCGCTCTTACATCATGCATAGTCTACGCTTTCTTAACACCGATATTGGCTCTATTAGTCTACCTGGCCATATATCCGCGATCGTTTAAGACGACCTCAATGGAAGTAGCGATTGCGATAATAAGAACGATAGTACTAGAATTTCCTTTTCCTCTGATGGTTGTAAAGACTGCTATATTGTGGTTGGCCGCTGGTACTGGAGCATTCTGTAAGTTGAATCGAGTATAGAGTATTAGAATCTTTACCAACAATTGCAAAAGAGGTTGAATCATACTCAAATCATCAATGTCTATACAATCTTTCTCTAGTTTACCCATTGACTGCTGCAATTGTGTGGGTTGATCTCGTAACATTTGCCATGCTATGCTATGTTTTCTACATTACGTACAAAACAAAAGAAATAATTGATACTCACACAGAAGATTTACAATCATACGGTCCCAAATTGCCTGGTTTGCTAAGGTATGACGTTTTGCTATACATAGAAAACTTGCCAGAAAAGGTAATCGTTAGTAATGCACGTGCTAACATTTTGAACAGCCTACAGTTTTGGCTTCGAACAGTCACAGCTTTCTATTTACCATTAAACATTGACGTCGTTCGAGATAGTAAGATATGCAAAATCGATGTGTTATTGTAATCAATAAGTTGTGCTTTTATTAAAAAATTGCAAATTATGTAATGCTTAGTAACTTACGTAAATGAAAAGGAACTGGATAAAGCAGGATCGAAAGCAGCGCAACATCTAAAACTTGACATCTACAAGCCAAAAGACACCAAACCGAACGACAGTTGCCCTGTTTTGATCTTCATCCATGGAGGTAATTGTTTTTTGAAATTTCTCGCATATCAAGCTTCAAAATTCAGTTTTTGTACAATGCTTTGATATACACTAAACAGGCATTTGGCAGCTTTCTGACAAACTCATTCCCTATCCACAACCATGGTACATGGCTTCACACGGTTGGGTTGTCGCCTCAATAAACTATCGAGTTCCTCCCGACGTTCAATTTCCTACACATTTAATTGATTGCAAGCGAGCGCTGAGGTGGGTTAAGGCTAACATTAGCAAATATGGAGGAGATCCGGAATTTATCTGTGCTTGTGGAGACTCTTCTGGTGGGCATTTGGCGTCTCTGTTAGCACTTACAGGAGAGAACAAGCCAAGAGATGCGCAAAGTGAATTTGGGGTAAAGAGAGGTACAAACGAAAAAACGACGAGTAACAGCACAATAGGCTATAACGCAGAGAGTCTGCGAAAAATTTATCAACCAGGCTTTTCGACTATTCCGCTCCCCATTCGAGCATGTGTAGTAATAAATGGCATTTACGGTATAAGCGAAAAACACGGAATTTCCAAATTAGAAACTGTATTTCCCGGTTGGTTTTCAAACCACGTCTGCAATGACGTTAAGGGTAAAGAGGACAGCAGTTTGGACACATTCAAAGATTTTAGCACAGAAGAGTGGTTGTTGAGGAGAAAGGAAGAGGACATTGTACCGTATTTGGTGTTTCAGTAAGTGAGGGTTATATGGGGGATTGAGTGTTTTTGACTTATGACCTGTTTGACTGATGAATTTTATTACGAAATAGTGGCGCATTAGATTCGATAATCGAAGTGGAGCAACCGCGATCGTTTGTAAATTCGTTCAAACGACGCGCACCGAGACAAAAGATTGTTTACATCGAGTTTCCTGTAAATACTATTTTCTTTTTTTCTTATTCTGGCTGTAACATTCTTTCCATCAGTCTCATAATTTTTACTGTTTTCTTGTAGAATTCCGATCATTTTTATTATTTAACAGCTTCTCTGCGAACGCAGTACCAAATGATTACAATGCTACGATTCTTAAATAGACTCTACTCAGAGTATAAAGAAAAAGAAAACGACTAATCACGTGTTATGCAATAAATGAAATTCGCACACAGCACATTACACAAATTATCGTTATTATCCCGTGGGTTTCAAATCGGGCACAAATGTAGAAAATGCTACTGCTTCAATTCCTCATTAAGTCGACTTGTCTTCTTTTTCTTATCGTGATATGATGGTTTGGCAAGATTCCTGCCCAAAGAATGCGTCTGTAGGAAAAAGTTCATGCTTTCCTTATGTGCCGTGTCAGTAAAACTATTACAAGACGGCTGTACGTTCTGGGATAATGGATGGGGTATTAGAATAATCTAGTCGTTGATTCACAGACAGTAATGTATGCAAGTTCGGTGACATTTGACTAATTTTGTAGCTCTTGTTCTCAAACTTGAAACGGAGGGAAAATCTATGATACCACAATCAGTGTAACAGCGATAAACTTGTAACGGTAATAGTAATAAATCAATATTCCTTTTTTGCACAGCCCCTCTAACACTTTAAGCCACTTTATAACTGGTTCAACTGCAATCCAAGGTAAAAAAAAAAACTTGGCTTTAACGATATGAATTTGCAATTCCTTCCTTGTCTGTCGCGAGATTTAGGGCGATTGCTTTTAGACACTGACACATCTGATGTCATTATTCGAGTTAGACAAGACAATGTCGATGAGGACGGCGACGAGGAGTGTGTGTTTAGAGCGCATTCTCAAATTATCAGGGCCAGATGCAAGAAACTTGGAGAATTGATGGATAAGGAGAGAAGTACCAAAGGCGGAATCGATAAAGTGGTTATCACCTTGTCCGATATGACGTCCAAGACGTTCAGGGTATTGTTAGAGTAAGTATATATATATGATCTATGTTGCACCTATTATTAGTTAGTATTCAACATCTTTTGACACAAAAGTTTGTCCAAGATACATCTACACGGGAAAACTAGCGATCATAAACTTTTCACCATCCGAAGTCATTTCCCTTCTCATCACCGCCTCGGCCTATTCTCTATTCGACATACTCTCTTACATTCAAACGCAACTCATTTCACAGACCGCCGCATGGATCTCGCAAAACTCGCTTGACCTTTACCTCCGCTTTCATAATGACACGTCATTCGAAGAGCTGGCAATGCATTGCAAGCAAGTTATGCGGAAATCTCCAGAGCTCGCGATGAAAGATGAAAAATTCATAAAGATGGAAAAGGAATCGGTTATAGAATTGGTGCAGTGGGCAGAGAGGAAAATGGAAGCCGTCGAAATATGGGAATCTGTGCTCAACTGGGGGAAAGCGCAAGCCAACATTGAGGAAGCTGACTATGACAAGTGGACGCTTGAAGAAAAAGAAAGGATTGCGGAAATATTGGAGGACGTTCTTGTTAGGGTGCGGTTTTCTCAAATGTCGTCTACTGACATTCACTCCAAGGTCATGCCGTACGTTGATATTCTTCCCCGGATTTCGAAGAATCTTCTCGACTATAAAGAAAACAAGCCCACAACTACGCGTGCCTCTACTACTACTACTACTCCGAGTGCGAATCTGCGAAAGAGGGATAGTGCGGACCAAGGGAAAAAGAGGGACTTGAAGAATATCGAGACACGACTGCATGATGATGAGAACGAATTACGAAAGAGTTTTGATGACTCATATAAAGAAAAGGCAAAAGACAATCGTGTGGAAGGCATCATAGTAATGCCGGGAGCAGCAGTGATCAGACCTGTGAATGATCCGTCTTCAGCTGTAAATAATACAAATGCATCTCCTACGGTTACTCCGACTCGTTCAATATCGTCTCAATTCCAGGTTTCGCCTCCAGCCTCGCCATCATCCACCACGTTTCCCACCCTTTCCAAGAATAAGATATTTCCGCTTATCCAAACAATCTCTACATACAATATATTCTCCACAAAACCACAACGAACACTTCGCACACCTCCCATTTCACCCACACGCAAACATTTCACTTCTCTTCCGCCTCCGGTCAGTTCTACCCTCATCAACGACCACCATACAGGATGGATAAGCGCATGTATTGATTATTTAAATGTTACCCAAGGAGAAGAACACACCATGTACAATCGAGAGAACAATCCGTATAAATACGAGTTACTTTTACGAGGAAGCAGAGACGGATTCACGAGCGTAGCATTTCACAAATTATGTGACAACAAAGGACCGACGGTGATGATACTAAAAATCATGGGCACAAGAGAAATCATTGGAGGCTATTCTCCCCTAGACTGGACCTCTCCATCCATGTGGAAGTATGGTACCACATCTGATAGTTTTCTCTTTAGTTTTGCATACGGAGAACTGAAAAATGCCGTCCTGAGTCGGACAAAGGATAAATCGACAGCGATAAAATGCCGTAAATCGAATGGTCCGGTATTCGGATATGGTCCTGACTTGTGTATGTGGAGCGATGAGTATGAAAAAAAGTGGTGTTGTTATCGGTGTTCGTATGAGCCAAGTATTAGGTTTGCTGATGGAGAGTTTTGGATTGATGAAATGGAAGTGTTTGCTGTTAAACAGAGAAAGTAGATTTGCACGCGGCGTAATAGGAAGCATAATATAATGTAACGCGTACATATATGCCTTTTTTCCTCTTTTTTTGAAATGACATTGTATATTAAATTAAATTCGTAAATAAATGATAATCATAACCGTCTTGCTCTCATAGCACAATCAGTTTCTGAGAATTGGGGCCGTTTCGGTATTGCATAAAATGTATTAATCAACCAATTCTCAAGATGGGTTAAAAAAACACGAACGTCCAATTCAGATCGACAAGTGAGATAAATTTTTGTCAAATTAAAATGCTAATTTTAAGCTTGAGAAGAAAAATAATTAATATCAAAATAATATAATCAGGTAATATAAAGCCTTTGTAAATCGCGCTCCCCCTCCATATGTAGTCTTCTGTGAGTGTACTTTATGGAATATTTTTTATAGTCGAAAGATTACCCATTTAGACCACTGTGAGTTCTGGATATCTATTACTATATAAAAAAATATATTAATTCCATCCTCCATGTAACCAAGAATTATAGCACAATTAGAGGCATCTAAAAAAAGAACAATTATCTCCTTATTTTCAATTAAGGTCACTTTTAGTCTCTTTAACTTCAATTTGAGCAATTTCAACCTCACTTTCAAGCCCTTGAATTTATCTAACAATTCTTGTCTTCGCTTATTACACCAGTCCTTTGAAACATCCTAATTTCTTCCTTGGTACTGTTTAATTGCTGTTTTAAAATCTTTGTTTGCTGTTCCAATCTTCAGACATCACTTTGCCATTATCTCAGCTACTAAAAGAGTTTGTTTTTCTTAATATTAAGCAAGCATTATTACAGTGTGACAAGGTGCCATTATCAAGATTTCAATACAAATATCATTATAGCCACTAATTCTGGTCCTTGATGTTCAAACACTACCACTGACGTCAATATTGTACGTTGGCGTCCGAAATGTTTGTCACCGTCAACAGTGTTCTGGTATTGACGTATTAGTAAAACAATGATAATGATAACAATATTTTGCTTTGCACCAGAGTGACAAAATAATAGATTATACTTTTGGGTCCGAGTATTAGTATTTTCCTCCCATGCAATCACTCTGGGGTTTTTATTACGATTTATATTTTTAAAAGCGTATAATAAAGATATTAAAATTATACTTGCAAAAATTGAATAATTTTGACTCCTTGGTTGCAATTGTGTCAGAGTAGCGAAACATGATCAACGCGCAACGAATGCATCTTTACCGATCTTTCGTCGACAGGTCACTTGATCAGCGGAGACGTTTGGCGGGTTTATTATTTTTCGCTCTTCTTCATAAATTTATAAGTAATTCTTCTTGATCTTCTTGGATGGAGAAGTTTGGGTATTATTGATTTTAAAACATATGGAGCAATTATTTTCTCCTTGCTCTTTTTTAGAATCCTATAATAATAATAGTGCTGAAGTTCCATAGTAATAGTGGATTTGATGTAAATGAGTTTCATATTTATATTTTTTGTATAGAGATAATTATATAATAAATGCGTTATTATTATGATTTATAATGTCAAGTAAAAGTTTATCTCAATTAGTGGAGTGCCAATCACATTTTTGGTATAATGATCCATACTGTTGGTATAATGCGTCTGTGATTGATTCACAATATATGACACAGAAAAGTTTTAGCGTTCCTGCAAGTATCAGATCCTTCTATTACTATGCCAATCACTATCACCGGACCAAGCTCCCTGATCTTTTCAAGGATAAAGTCCCTGGACATGAACTTTTAGTTTATAATTACTTTTGCAAATGTACAGACCCCAATCATGTTCCAAACAAGATATTAATATCTGATGAAAAAATTGGTACGTATTGTGAATAAATATCTCATTAGCATAATAAATTGTTCACAAAACTTTGTTGTGCTGTTCAATATTACAAGAGTTAACCATCACAGGAGAACAGATGGCTATTGACTTGTTCAAGTATAAGGATTTAACTATCCATTTCAAAAGTTTATGGCTCACCTTTCAGAGCCAAACTTAGACAACCCATTTGTGACTTTTAAATCAGGCCTTTCACATTTGTAATCATAAATAGTGTACACTAAGACGCTAATTATTCTCCGAAGGCATGAAAATATCCAAAAGTTGTGGCTACGCTTTTTGTCGAATGGGTTTCTATTTTTTGTGAAATCGACGAAACCAAAACGTGTATTATTATGGAATGTAAATATGGAGAAAGAAAAATACCCTTATTAAATAACGTATAAGACCCGTTACTGTTGTAGCGTTTTATTTGTTTTACAGATGGCTGTTGGTTATAAAAATATGCTGGTTTCAATTACCACGTGAGAGCTCGATTACCAGAAATTTAAATTTCACCGCTAAATCCTACCGTCAACAACAGATGAGATTGATGTATAAAGGCTCGATACTACTTACATCAACAATGATGCTAATGAAGCGTTAAAAAAGATAAAGATAATTACCTTAGGGAATGGTTATCCGAGAGATTGAAAGGGATTCGGATTCAGATAATTGTTTCAAGACATCGATACGCGAGCCTTTGAATGCCCTGGAACTAATGGAGCCACCGAAAAAAAGGTGGTGAGAGAATTCGTTACCGTCATTGTGTGAGGAAAGCGGGTCTCATATAAATATTAAAGTTATCTATGTAAAAAGAATTGGCATCTATATAACACGCTTTCAAATCGTGAGGTTTTCTCGCTTCTGGTTTAATGTTAACGCTGCTTAGAGATACTGTGGAATGAGTCCCGCTCTGTCAGACCCCTACCCCACTTTGTCAAATACTACCATTGACGGCCAGACTATATATATATATATATATATCAGATCACATGTTCATGTAAATACACTCACTGGACAAAAGTCTACGTAATTTTTGTCGATCACATAGTAAAACATATGAAAAATCTATTTTTTCG